TGGCGGAATTAATTTTTGGTTCACTTCTAATGAGCAGCAGGAAGTTGTGTTTGTCATCAGACATGTATGTTGCGAAGTTGGTGGCAGTCTGGCGTTTAAGGTGTAAAGCAAATGCCTGAATAGTCAAGGACTCAGAAGAACATTATAAGCATATCACATTCTCTAATGACAAACAGTGCGCATTAAACCGAATGCCCACTCCGGTTTTGTATAAGAAGGCATGAAGACAGCCTTTAAGCTACCTATCATCAGTTTATGCGGTTTTATACAGGCTTTGTGCAACCGACTGTCCGTAAACCGACGGCTAACCGAAAAGGTGTCGGGCACCTGATGGACACCCCTGAAGTGTGGAGCGCTGTAGTGTGAACTGCGGTGGTTTGGAACCGAAGAATCAGGCAAGATTCCTACCACACATTTCATCCACAGCTACCCGCGGAAGTACCGACCGGCTTTGTTGAGGGGGTGACTGCTACTTCAGTTTTATTTCATTACGCGATTGACTTTTGGTCTTGTCGAAGCTTCACGAGCCCGAAAGGGTACTTGAGCTGCAGTCGGAGGAAGTGCAAAACAATCACATTTATCGCCAGATTGTAGCAGGTAACGTTTTCAGAAGTTGTGAATGACAGTAAAACAAGCACAACAGACAGATTTAGAAGAGTCCATTGAAACAACTTATCTGTGGCACACAGACAATGCGCTGCACTTCCTTGACGACAGATTGCTTGGGTACCGGGCATCCGGTCATGTATGCCTTTGTGAAAGGCCAGCACTCACTTCCTATGCGCAAACCTCATGACCTGTTCAGGACGATCACTGGTAAACAGTATCCAATTTATTTTCAGTTAGTTAGGAATGTTGATCACGAGTCACATTATTCTTGGAATTTTCTACGGGATTCCAAGGCAAAAAAATCTGAAAGCGGGACTTGGACATCATACAGAACTCATAAAAAACGTGAATCTCATAACCGGTTTAGGTCCCAACGCGGTGATAAATGATATATTGGTTGCCTAACTCACCAACCGCTCGATACCAGTTTGTTCCTCCCGAAACACTGATACGACTATATTTTCATCAAAAACAAGGAGCATTGAACAGCTGGCAACCAAGTGGGGCAAGACAATTCAGCGACAATCAACTTAACAATGCATGTTGCAAAATTTGCCGTACAAATCCGTGAGAAGTCCGACGTTGTACCCATACACTCACTATTCACTGCACTGCACTGCACTGTTGATCCTGTCCACAGAATTCCATTTTCGTTGACCTGACGGTGCCTCCCCGCTGTGTTTTTCCCCAGATTGCTGTTTCCCACTTGAGTGGTAGGTGGTGCTTCCTTCTTGTTGTGACAGATTCACAAGCATATTCCCTTACGAAATAACCGGAACTACGGTTAGTTAGATTCCACCAAGGATTTAAGGAACTAAATCCCTGGTGGAACCTTTTCACCCTGTTAGGGTTATTCCAAGACACTCACCCCGGATTAGCGGTCATTTGAGAGGGTCGCCTCACGCTTTAGGATATACAGGGTTGTAAACTTTCATGATTTGATCATAATATTGCATGTTTCTTTAAAGTTTCATCGATTACAAAACGCTTTAAAGCTTTTTTACTTGAAGTAATGGACTGGCGTCTACAGCAGTTCGCTTTTCGTCTTGTTCCCTTGACTTTGGTCGCGTTTCCTCAATTAAAACCTTTTATTCAGGCAATATTTTTCGTCTACATTGTGCCCTCTTGAGACCTGGTGACCTACCCAATTCAATCGCGATTTCGGCCGCAGCCGCTTGAGACAAAATGATGTTGCTCGGTCATTTACGCTTTCAAAATTGTTCGACTTATTCTAGTTAGAATGAACTGCTTGTATTTCTTACTGTACTTCGCGCCACACTGAAATTGCCTGAAAGGAACCACCATCCACACTCACATGGATTTGGCCGCCCATATGTCGGACAGCGGCTAACTGTTCTGTATGGGATTATTCGACTACTACCTCATGGCACACAATGCCAATCAGCTGTGGAATTTGTTGTAATACATATAAAAGGGGCATGGAATAGGATGATCCTGAATGTGGGCGTAGCACAAGCGATAACACAGCCCCTAAAATAGACGCGATTCATATCAAACTCATGTGAGTGTATGCTGATCGTAGTGCATTATTCAGAGTGGCTCCATTGGTAGAACTTTGCTCAGTAGAAGAGAGCGCGGTCTCTAGTCCGATTCAGGGCCTCCATCGTTCTGCCAGCATTACGTGTTTTCAGATTTGTATTCAAGGCTATTTTGAATTTTGATAACTTTACAACTGTGAAGAAGCAGCTTAACCAAATTTCGAAGGTGATTATATTCTTAGCTTATCGAGCTCAGGGACATTGGTGACCAACAGAGAAACCGCGAAGATCGAAATCTACATCAGCGTGGAAAGAAACTTCGCGATTTCTGAAAAAGCAGTTTTTTATTCCACCGCTTTTAACTATTCGCAGAAGCAACTTAATTTTCCTCGAATACTACTGTAACTTCCACTTGTATCTAATTGTTTTGTCCTAATCCACTGAAATGGAGCTCAGCCATTTTATCAGTTTGTATCTGTTGTCTACGTACGCGCACAAGCTACGATATGATCTGCTTATAGTGTTATGGATCTTTCAGCTTTTCCACTGCTCTACCTTTTATCCGTGACTCTGTTTTACGTGATTGGTTTTCTATTAATCTCACTTGACCTTGCGCCGTCGGAATAACCGCTGGTTTAGAGGTTAGCAGTCCATCCATCAAACACTTCCTGTAGCCTGTCCAGTTGGTTGACCAGACCTTCACTCAACTGAACTGCATTCCTTTCCCCAACCGATATGGAATATTCTCGCCGTAGTAGCCGGTTGTAATTCTCGACCCCAGCACGCAGCTTGCTAGATAAATAGAACTGAAATTCTATTCAGTCTAACGAATGCGAATGTTTGAAGTTTGTTATCTCTAGTCTGAGTTTGCTTCTTGATGGTACCGTAAAAATTGATACCCGTATGTCGGTCGTAGAAACAACAGGTTATGCTTAATTCAACATCCCGGACGATGGATGTTACAAACACAGCACGGACGCGAGGGGTATATGACAGAATTTTCCTGGTTACACTGCCAAGATCATGAGTGCATCTAACTGGGGCAGTCCACTGCACCGAGTTCGAGTGAAACAGCAAGGCTGTCGAAACAACGGGGCAGATGTAACCTACGATGACAATGTTGTGAGATCGGTTGCCCTGCATTTATTGACATCTGTGCTCCTGAGGCAAACAACTTGTCCGGCACTTTACTTTTAAAGTTCTCATACTTGGAAATACATCAGGATAATTAGCACATTAGGCTACTTCAGAGCTTTCACCGATGTTGCGCTGTCTCTGCTGGTTCACAAACTAAGCGCTCGGTCACACAATTTTCCAGGGTTACCTTGGGTTTACGACCACTTCCGAGCCTTATTCGCAGCACGTCCGACATATCGGAGGCGACTGCATGTGATGTCCAGACTCTGCTCGTGATTATACATGCGGTTAGATTCAGATGATGTCACTTGACCGCTCCAATAACTTGATAGTGCCTACTGACCTGAAGACAGGAACGGAATTTGGGAAATTAAATGTCATGCCTCCTTCTGAGTTCTCGACTGTTGCATCAACGGGGAAAGGGGTCATGTTTGTGAAAGTCAGCGAGGACACAAATGCCATTAGTTGAATACCACACAAACTGTATACCGAATTTTTCTCACTAGTGCCTAGCACTAACACGCAAAATCAACTCAAATGGCCCAGCTACAAGCGGCAACAAATTACAACACATTCCGATCCGGGTTGTTCGGTCGGAGGCTACGGCTTGAAATCAAAACCGCTCACCTCATCAGTTTCTCGCAAGTTCAACGACCATCTTGCCTCCCAGGAGATCATTGACAATAAAGACCGACAGGTTTCCCGGCTGTTAAATAGATACTTATAAAGGATGAAAATACCTCGGTGGATCCCATCTGGTTTCACTTCACGTCAGTGTCCAAACAAGCAAGTCACTATGCAGTTAGATTGACCCCACGCAATTCGTCAACTTCTTAGAGGTCAGTTGGACGAGGGACAACAAACTGCCATTTGATGGGTGTCTCAGCATAACCAGTAATGATAACCCACAAAGTGGCAGCGACCTAAGCAAAAACATGAGTGCAGACAAACGTAATACGATGGGCAGTTAGCGACGGTGATGTGGGGCTCACTTCTTGACAGCGGTTGATATATAGCGGAGCTAGAATCGCACCGTAAGGACGGTGCGCGACTATACTAAGCCTTTGGCTCCGTGGCAGCAAGAAGTGCAGTAAATCGATATTTGACGATACTCATAGTGGATATGAAGACAACTTCTTGAAGCAAGGCTAGCGAATGCGCATGTTACACGAGGAAGCTCCGAATGTGGTCATGTCCAGCTTCTACACTACAAACACGGAGCCCTTCGTTCAGTGGTAGTCCACCACTGTAATCATATTTCCGGTCGTGATCAATGAGACAACATATCACGATACTGTCAGGACGCGCCCAGACATGGAAAAAGTACATGTGCAGAGAGTGACACATCCCCAAGGTCACCATGGTTACGACACGTCCGGAAAGCGGGTGCGTTGGCAGAGCTCACCAAACACGGCTTAGTAACATACGACCAGCGTAGTGGGCCTGAGAGTGTTCACGACCGGAACACCGCCATTGGCTGTACAGAACGAACAAGTGAACGACCATATTTGGCCATTTAGTCATCCTACATATTTACGCAGAAGCTTTGTATGTTTTGTCCTGACAACACAGCCGTGTCCCGAGTTCTGTCTTCTCCCTGTCGCGTAGTCTGGCAGGCTCAGTGCAGGCGTAACCAATAAACCCACGATACAACAGATACATTTTAGTTGGTTTTTGACAGTGCTGCTAACGACAGTCATTCAGGAGATCGTGGATCAGCAGTAGCTCCTGAACCACACCTGTGCAGAACACTAGCCGACATGGAAGAAGCTCAGTGCCATCGGGAAGAAAATTTCTAAAAAAAATCGAACAACATGTATACAAAGGTAACCATACTAACAAAAAAATAAGACGACATTCACGGCCAGGAAAACTGCACCAATGGGGGAGCGATGATAAAATCAAGTTGAAGAAAAATGGTGAGCGGGACAGAGGTAAGCTGGAGACTTTCTCCACACCTAATCCAGAGTGACCTGCACAGTGTTTCGTCAAGACAAATCTGGTGGGCTTGGCATGTCCAAAAGTAGTGGATTATTGGATCCACCATCGAATCCAGTCCGACGTTTATTTGTTCATGTTTTTTTCTGACAGGAGAGCTGGAGAAGAGGGAGATGAGCATAATAGAGTGAAAGTCGGGATTTCCAATAAGAGTAGACCATACCACTCATAAGGTTGCTGAAAACTGTTCGACAGTGGACGAACGGTTTCGGCTTATCATGTAGGCGCAGTCCCTGAATCTTTATCATCATTATGTTTTGATTTCGACCAAAACAGTACAGCAAAGTAAAGTAAGAGTCTTCTAGGTGGACTCTTCTGAGTCAGTTGGCGCACGCACACAATCTCTGTTACAGTAGAAAAATCCCCTTAAAATTAACGTGTCGTGGCCGCAACCGGCCCCACGATACAACAGATACATTTTAGTTGGTTTTTGACAGTGCTGCTAACGACAGTCATTCAGGAGATCGTGGATCAGCAGTAGCTCCTGAACCACACCTGTGCAGAACACTAGCCGACATGGAAGAAGCTCAGTGCCATCGGGAAGAAAATTTCTAAAAAAAATCGAACAACATGTATACAAAGGTAACCATACTAACAAAAAAATAAGACGACATTCACGGCCAGGAAAACTGCACCAATGGGGGAGCGATGATAAAATCAAGTTGAAGAAAAATGGTGAGCGGGACAGAGGTAAGCTGGAGACTTTCTCCACACCTAATCCAGAGTGACCTGCACAGTGTTTCGTCAAGACAAATCTGGTGGGCTTGGCATGTCCAAAAGTAGTGGATTATTGGATCCACCATCGAATCCAGTCCGACGTTTATTTGTTCATGTTTTTTTCTGACAGGAGAGCTGGAGAAGAGGGAGATGAGCATAATAGAGTGAAAGTCGGGATTTCCAATAAGAGTAGACCATACCACTCATAAGGTTGCTGAAAACTGTTCGACAGTGGACGAACGGTTTCGGCTTATCATGTAGGCGCAGTCCCTGAATCTTTATCATCATTATGTTTTGATTTCGACCAAAACAGTACAGCAAAGTAAAGTAAGAGTCTTCTAGGTGGACTCTTCTGAGTCAGTTGGCGCACGCACACAATCTCTGTTACAGTAGAAAAATCCCCTTAAAATTAACGTGTCGTGGCCGCAACCGGCCACTTAAGCGCCTAAGTAGGTTGACATGTATAAATTGCAACGAACTGTTCGCTTTACTGTCTTACGACTTCTATGAAAAGCTATGCTACTGTAATAAAATCTCTACGTCAGGTAGAAGGAGCTTTCGCGAAAAGCCGTATGGACGCCAGTTATCACCGTACAAGCTGAACTCATTTGAACATCACACTTATAGAAGTGAGTTAGGGCAAATAAGAAGTTTGTTAGCAGACGTCACGGAAAGTCTACCATCAACATGAGAAATGCTGCATCCCCACCTCTATCAGAAGAAAAAGAGGGACGGAAAAGCAGTGAGGTTTACAGAATGGATTAACGATATGCTTGAAAACAGTTATGCTGTAGAGTCCTTAAAAACTTAACATTAGAGACAGAACAAAACAGATGATTATCTCAGCAGAGACCGCCAAGAGAAAAAAGGGCTAATGACCTCTCTCACCAGACTTGCATGACTGGGAATGCCTGTTGTTGACCTTCTAGAGTTATATGTCCTCAGCTAAGCCTTTCAAGGAGAATTACTGAGTGTAGATGTTTTTGAAATTAGCGTCAACAAAAGGAAAGTGGTCTGTTCTACGACATGGTAAATTTCTGATATTAGTTTGGAGGAATCAACTCTGGCAACATACTTTTACACCAGATAGATCTGGCCAACGGTGTTACTTTTTGGAACCATTCACACGAACAGATCACCCATTCACGCCGAAAAAAAATCGTTTAGCTGTAGCACCATTTCGGTACCAAACTGCCATGTCGCCCGAAGGAAGCACGAGGGCAGGGATACTGCCAGGTTGCCCAAGCCTAGACAGCGGAAGTCGAGAGGCAGAGGTCGGGTTCGAACCACGGACCTTCCGGTTAGTAAATTCACGATCTAACCACTTAGGCTATCTCGCCCCCGGTATCAGATTACAGACGTACTGCTGTGAAAATAAATACAGCGCTATAAGTGTCGTTCATACACATAGTCTCGTAGCAATGTTCCAAAGAGGGGCTGTCTAAACCTCATGGCATTGACAAACTCTAAGTTGCCTATCAAGTAGAACAATGGAAGCAAGACCAAACACTAATGTATTTGAATCCCGCGAAGGATTTGTAGGAGCGACTCGAATTAGCCTAGTGGCGAAGACACACTTCTAAGGAAGAATTAGTATGAATTAGGAAGCCCACTGATATGGCTGAATGTGTTTTTTAATGAGGCGATAGACAGATGTAGAAAGTAGAAAAACAGTTCGGCCGCAACATGATTTTGGTGCCTAGCTGCCACGACACCTGAAGCAAACACGACGGTTCAGTCCAATCCGAGACAGGAAAAGTTGAGACGCCGGGGTTCGACTCGAGGCACGGAGCTTTCGGTTGTTAAGATGGCACTTTAACTATTGAGAGATTCAGAGGCCATGGAGTACCACACGGGCTGAGGACCCGGGCAAGTACAAGAGTTCGGTTTTCAGCCCGTGACTCAGGTTAGCAGAAGACCATCAGATCATCATCGGTCATTAGACGAGAATACTACAAAAAAGTACCACGGGGTAACTGTGTTTACAGCGGAACCTACGAAATTCTGACTGCACGTTCTTGGGGGTATGAACTGATTCTGGTGGAAGTATGATGCTTCATATGCTGCAAACAACCATGCTAAATGGCCTGACTCATTCTAAACAAGCCAGTATAAAAGCCGTGAGGAAGTGTTCAGCTATCTTGAGCTGATAGGATGCTTGGGTGTAGAGCCAAATGCTGCTCAAATGTGTGATTACCATGTTGTTGGCCATTATCTAAAGCATTTATGTGATTTAGAAAAATAGGAACCCACACTTTTCCTCCCTTTACTCAATGATGATAATCGTTCCTCAAGGTTACACTCTATCATTACTGTAGGTATGTTTGTACTCATTAGGGTGGTGAAATGGGTGGGGAAAATGTGTTGAACGACTCACGTTGCTGAGTAGCCCCGGTTGGCCTGATTGTCATATCGACCCAACTGCATGAGTACAGATAAAATCGTGAAGGTAGAAACCAGTAAAGAAGAGGAATATAAAAGAAAGAATAAATATTTCAGGATCGTATACTTTTCTCCGCTTCATGCATGGACGGAAAGATGGGAAACTGACACCTGGCACTGGGGGTGAGCCAGACTGGACTGAATATATTTTGAACCTTCCACAGTCACTTGAACGCCTCGGAATCTGATTGTGTGGTGACCGGCAAATTATGTGTTAGGGTCTAAATCATGAAAATAACTGGTACGAAGAGTTGTTTAAGTTCACTTCTGTCTGTGTCATCAAATTAGTGACCCCTATTATGGCCAACTTGCAGACAGTCCACTTTTCACCTACCATGGAGTTGGCGAAAAAGAAAAGCGGGAATCAACCGGGAAGGTGGTCGGACAAGGTCCCGAACAACCTCAGTGCTTTGAAATAATACAGTGACGAGAACAAAATCTAGGATGATAAGTTTCAACTTCACGCATCAGTAACGGTTACCACAATTCACTACGAGTCTCTGTTTTGAAAATGGGTACTATCACCAACAATTCCCAGTTGTCTCGGACTGTTGAGGTTCCCGATACGGACACAAATGTCAACATTTGAAGGATAGTCACCTACAGTGATCTCATTGTCTTTGCGAATTTTCTCCAGTCAGGCTTTGTTCAGTAGCGGGGTTTCATTCTGCAACGATATTTCATGCAGGGGACGTCTGTATGACTGATCCGATCGCTGACTAAACCTTACCGAACCGCATGACCGTGGGATCCGTGGAGAGCTCTGCTCTGAACATTGAGTGGCTGTGGACTGTCGCCCACTTTGCCCAGATCACACTGGCTAGAAATAACGGTTCGTTAACACGAGAATTTTAACCCTGTTGCGGAGACACGCCAAGCGACATCACCACTTACAAGTAAACCGGTAACCTTGTGTGGCTGAGGAGCAATAGTATTAGACCAACTCTGATGTAACGGGGTATAAAGACTGGTGTGTCACCAGTGAAACAAAATTTACTTCACCTAAATTTACGAATCAGAACACGGCTTAACGATGGTCACGCTCAGGAGTCAACGAATCAGACACGCCGTTCCATGCGTGATAAATAATAAAAGACAGTCAAATGGACTTACGTTTGTTCTTCCTCACGAACCTTGGTTCTGTGTTTTCGTAACACAAATACCACAGTCGTTACAATCAGCACCAGACCCAAAAATGAAACTGAAAAACAGAGGAAATTTCGAGAAATCCATCTGGTTCCATGGTGAGGCCTAAGTCTGAGGCAGCTGTACGGAATAAATAGGCGATTTTCAGCAGGATACAATAAACCTAGTGCAGACACAAGTCACCTTAACATCTCCATGGGCCCGTACAGTTGAATGAATTTTGGATTCATCGAAGCTGGTGCCGAACAAACAGGAAAAAAGCAGGCAACATCTTTTCGGATCTTCACTAATGGGTCTGTTGTATACAGTGCTTGAATATGACGATTAAGGCAAAAAAACGCCGAAGCGATCGGATAAACAACAGTGCACCGTGCACGTGATGTCAGATGTGTGCCTAGATTTGCGACTGGTCGATCAAGAGCATTAGGGAGCGAATTCAACAGTGGTTTGATAGAAAGCAGTGTGAAAGCGGATCCCTGATCTAACACGAGGCATTTCATCATTACCGGTCATAACAAAGAACCCAGTCATGTATTCAAAATACATTACAGAGCACTCGAATGTCACTTCAAAGCTGAAAGTTGCCATATATTGGCTAACGCCAAGTCGGTAGCTCTTGGACTGTTGGTCCTAGAGCTATGCACAAAGAAACGACTCGGGCATGCACCCCATCTGCCGTGGCCACCTCTCATTCATACTGAGAGTGGACACCGGGCTGACAGACTGACTGGTGTGAAGCAGCATTCATCTGAGTTCTTTACTATTCAAACCATAATTGTGAAAACGGTCATTGATATACATTCGAAGAAACGGTGCGCATTCCCAAGATAGAGATTGGTATCGTTTCTCACCGACGCTATTCTGCTTGTCAGTTCGATTGTACCCGTAGGTGTGAAGAGACGGTAAAAGGATGCGATAGCTGGGTATACTCGGATCTGAACATTTACCCAGTCGATTATTTAATGGTTTGGGATGGAAAAGTAAGAACAACAAGTACAAGTCAGCTGGAGTAAACTGGCCTCGTTTCGGAACTCATTTCTTCATTTCATGAAGCATACAGACCGGGGTGGAGACAGAGTATCGAATTCACCCAAGCACTTGCCATCCGTCTACTCAAAACAGTTCTGTTTACAGGAAAGAAGATAACCATGGTTCTTCCCCGAACAAGTCTAACTGTTTCAATGCTCCAGTCCCCATTTTGTGTTTCTACTCACCACATACCCAATTATTTTCTATTATTACACAATTTAATCTGACTTGGAAACTACCTAGACTTGAGTTCCACACAAATCGCGCGAATCCGTTCCATGGCCTTCACTTCCCCCGATTAGCCCATCGATTATCTGAGCAAATGCGCTCAACCGACTAGATCCATTATTTCATTTTGCTGAGCGAAATGTGACCGTTTCTGTCCATGTGTTGGTGAAGCGATGTTCACATACGTTCTTTTGCATTAAAACTGCACTAATGAACTGTGACACTACTCCACACACTGACATAGGCCTTCTTCAATTGGTGATCCATGTGGTGGGCCAATGAGCGAGGCGAGCAACCGTGGCAGTGGACGCGGGCGTATGTTCAACGGATGGCCCGAACAAAATCAAATCAGCTGTTTAGTCGTTCCACTTTGGGTACGGTCATCGAATCCAACATCAAAACGCACCAGCCAACTGCTCACAAATAACCAGAGATAGAAAGTCTTTCTTTATCGTACGTTGAGAAGGATAGACGTTGTCAGGCTAAAAACAGCCCTTCGGTGCCCAGTTGCCATGCCACCCAAAAGGAGGACAAGAGCTGAGATACAGCCAGGTTGCCCAAGCCTAGACGGGAACAGTCGAGATGCAGCTAACGAACGGAGAAGGCTCTGCTCCATTGATTCATCCAGGGACGACACAGTCATAAAACGCAACCCTCTGGGTAAGGAAATGGCATGCTAAAACCCATCAGGTTGCCTGGAGACCGAAGAAGACACTGAACTACTTCCGCAGATTACTACAACAATATCCTCACTACCGTGCTGGTATCCTCAAAATCAGAAGTCCTTATATTGCAAGACCTACGAGAACTTTGTTAATGATAACTAGCAATTGGACCTAGACGAGATAGATGGTGAGCCTCTGAGTGTTCTCACATCACACTGCACCTTAACAAGTGAGAGAGAGAAAAGATGAAATCCTATTACATGTGTTTGTATGTTACGACTGTAGCACGTAGGAAGATGAGGAATAACACCACTAAGGTTAAGCACCGGATCAAACAAGAACAAGCCCTTTCGACAAAATTCTGTAGCGAAGACTAGCTCTATTTATGAAGGACTGAATCCTTCTCGATGTACCTAACTGTGGGTGATGCGCCTCTCGATTGAGGTGTTGCCGTTGATTCAGTAGTTGGAGGA